CCAGTTTCCTGCTGTGAAGAGCTTTTTTCTGGTATCTTATAGGTAAGACTTATTAATAAGTTTCCATTTACTTTTCAGTTTAGGGCTAAAAACAGTATTAGCAGTTTCATAAAAAGATTAACAGTTACTAACCAAAAAACAAGGCTTAATGGACTCAAGAGATCACGATTTCTTCATACTAAAAGTTTATTTTACTAAACACTATGAAAAGACATTTTGAAATCCAGCTGCCCAACATTTTCCACTGAGAGGCAGGCTGTTGACGTATTATATACTGTCCTATTTTTAGATTGTATCATGCAAGTACAGTAAGACTTAAGTTTCTTAAAGTTGAAACCAGGACAATAGATCAAAAACTATTCTTTACCACTGGCTAAAGAGAAAAAAAGAACTACTCTCTTACAATACTTCTTCGAAGAATCTGGCAAGTTGCACGCTTTATATATTCAAGACAATCTTATCCCTTTCTTGTTTTGTGATCAAATTGCCTGACATCCCACAACAAATGAAAATTCTGGCACTGAACCATATAGTTTTGCCTTCCCTGAGGAAAGCACAAACAAGATTCCCTGCCACCCCCAAAAAATCTGTGTGGTATCCCTCCTGGGCAGTTCTGTTCATGTTTAATTTGAAAATAATAATAATAATAATGCAATCCAGTCAGAAATCCAGAGAAAAACATCTTCAGGATACAGAATTAGCTCAGAAGAGCATTCATTTCTACAAGATGTCAATCAAGCTGTTCCTAAACTTTTAGCTACTCTATGAAACTAATGTGCAACTTCAGAAAAATTGAGCTTTTCCAAGGCATTCAGTATTTTACACTTTAATCTATGCTATATTAATATCTCTGCTGGAATAAAAATTTAAATAAATGTCAAGATGCATGTTAGAAAATATGTGCAGGGTTTAGTGAGAAACATGACCATATTCTGAAAGCGTTCTCTGTACCTGATTTATATAAATGCAGAGTTCCCCTAAACCAAGGACATAAAAAGGTATGCTATATTGTTGACTACAGAATACTGCAAAGTTTTATTGCCATTTAAACAAAGAAGCCATAACAGTTAAATGAGCTCAGGCAATAGGTTTCAGCATCAAAAGGTGCCAGCTGTAAAGAGTTATGGCTAATTGAATATGGAACTCCCACTTAATCAGATAACTGCTCTGCTATTTCCAAATGAAATGCCATTTCCATACTGTTTGAAAATGGCCTATTTTATTGGTAACCAGAGAAAACAATATAAACAGTAAATAACATTAAGTGCTCTGTTTACCCATTCCGGGCACTGAAGTAGCAGGGGACCCAGGGCGCCGTGGTAAAGCATTTGCCTGCAGGGGTGGCACAACGGCTCTTTCTGGGGCTCCGCTCGGAGCCGACAGGTCTCTCTGCAGATTGGGAAGTGCGGCTGTGGGAAGCGGTGATTTTGGAGAGCCTTGTTTAGAAGATGCTGGAGCGGGTGTAGAAGCGTTTCTTTGAGCTGTGGTCCTCTGACGGATTTCTGACAAGAACATGTGCATACAGCATTTAACATGCAGAATATATTAAACAAGAGATTAATCAAAATACATCAATATTGCTGCTCTAATCACCACAAATAACCTAGTCAAAACCAGAAATGTCCATAAGTAAAGGTCACAAGCAGCCTGAGTGTGCCATAGGAATAAAACTTGAAGAGAATGCTGTATTTTAACAGAGATAATGACTAATGACATGATCAACTCTTCTACACTCAGTCTTCCAGGAGGGGGTTAGCAGATACTTCCCATACAATTGCATACTGGAAGCCAGAAGAGACAGAGCCAGGAACACCTAGAATCTACCAACAATGTGCAAGCAGAACTGACCACTATTTACTCCATAGTTTAAATATGCTTACAAACATTCTGCCTTCCACAGAACCTGAAATTATTCAGCTAAAATCTACAATATCTAAGTGACCATTGGATTTTTTTCAGATTGCTTAAATGAAATGGTTCCAAAAGCAGACAAACCACTAGGCTGTACAGTTTCATTTACACTGTTCAACACAACTACTGACAGGACATTACTTCAATTGTCACAGAAAGTGAATGGCCTCTAGAGGAAAAAGCATTCACTTTTATCTCTTCTCACTCTTTTGTCAGAGCTATTACTAAGCCACAATTACAAAAAAACAAGTTTCATCAGCTCTTACCTGAAGAAATATTAACACTTCTAGGATTATCATCCTTATATTGCATAAAGGCTTGGTTATTACATAAATATATGAAAACCTGAAGTTATTATAGTTAAACAAAAGCTTGTTTACCAAACCATGCTAAGTAGCAGTGGCCATTATCATCCCCTACCACCTAATCACTTCTAACTAAAGAGCTTTTGAAGCATACTACTACAACAGAACAAATTGAAGTTTAGCACTCACTTCAAGGCTGTGGACATTAACATGGTTAACAAGTGACAGCTTAATTTGTCTGTTAAAGACATACCCTAACAAGACTTAAACCTAAGGCTAGAGTAACACAATTCCCAGCACCCACCTAATTTTAATCAACTTGCTTAGACATCTTAACAAGTGAAATTTAACTTCAGAACTGCACTTTAAGTTAATGGCCCTGAAGAGTTTTAAGATTAGAGATTTTATCTGTTGATTGTGACAACTGGTAGATTTTAAGTTCTTATCAAGTACTTTATAATTCCACTGACAATTGCTTAGTCACAGGGAGATGGGTGTGCTGAATTTTGAAAGGATGAGTCCCATCACATATTATATAATATTATATAATTGCCCCAGTGGCAGTCGAGGGTGACATCAGCTTATACTAGTTAAGGAACAGTTTCTTATCAGAGCAGTAGGTTAAAAAGTTCATTTGGGAAACTTGCCAACATCCAAAGCTGTGAAGTGGCATCACATGTAGGCTATTTTCTAGCCTACTTATCTGTAGATATAAATAGGATTAATATCTCCAGGCAGAATCATGCAGAAACACAGAATGGTGGAGGTTGGAAGGGACCTGCTTGGGGGGTGTAGAAACAGCTCTCCTGAGGTCCCTTCCAACCTATACCACTGTGTTTCTTTGAGACAAAGATTCTCCTAGACATTCTTTGTACATCAATACTGATTAATAAGCAAACTAATGAGCATGGCTACTCGCAACTGGACATTCAATACAATCTCTTAAAGAACATTAGAATATTGCTAGTGGTAAAACAGTTGCATCTTTCTACTTATGCGCATATTTTTCTCCCTCACTTTTAAGACCTCACTTTTTGCAAAGAAATAAAAAACTGCATTTTTTCAAGCACTAGTAAAAAGAAAAGGTCACAATATAGTTAATTTAGGCCTTTAGCAGTAAAACCAGGATTTTTCTTCCTCCTTCTGACGTCTGTACACACCTCACAGCTTGCAGCCATCTGTACTTGCATCGTTTTTTATCTAAATCATGCAGTGATCTCATTTACATTACAGACCTGGTAACAGTTGTATCAGCACAACTGAGAGAATGGTTATCAACAGGATATTGTTGATACGCATTTATACCACTGCCGAAATATATTTTCTTGATACTGCTAGAGCGCTAAACAACTACATACTTGTCAACTCTACCCTAAAAAAAATCTGAATAGATCAAATTGAATTTAAAAAGCTTTTACAAATCTTTTTCCTTCTGAATTTCCAGGTGTTTTCTTATACCAAACTGAAGATTCATGTGAAACTTCTATTAGAGCTAGACCTATTTAACAAATAGTTAACAAAATGCCCAAAACTGGAAAAAAAAAATAAGAGTCAGAAGTAAAAATACTGAGGCACTGCAATATTTTTCTTAAGGGAAACAAACTACCATAATTCAAACCTATCATTAACTCTTTGTGGGAAATAACTACAGCAAAAAGCACAAGTTTTCATTTAAGCTAAGGCAAAAAAAGCAACTAACTTTACATCTACTGCCTCGTATACATCAGGTCCAAACTGATCATACCTGGGTCAGCATTTATCGCCCTTTCAGGAAGGCTCAGTAAACTCCCCACCATAACCATTTAATTCTACAAATCTATTCCTATTCTACTAACACATGCTGCAGTCTACAGTGTTATTTCAGACACACTTCTAATTCAGCTCTCAGAAACTCTCTCTCACATCCCTGCTATTAATAGTCAAGTCAAAATCAGTGTAGTACAGGCTGGATCCAATTCACCAGCACTTGATTATTTCAGAACCTGGATGACAAGCATGTGTTCTATGTTTTATAAATAAAACTGCGCTAAACTAGCCAGCTATTACAGACAGAACTGAACTGTCATCATTGTTAATCACATTTTGCCATGGAAGCAAATCACTTAATTCTTTACGAGTTTCAAGAATGCTGACAACATCTCTTTTAATAAAGCCAGGATGACTAAAGATTTGTCATTATCCAACAGCCCAAAATCTGTATTGAAAACAATCAAACATTGTGTCAGAACAGACCCTCAGCATTAAAAATATATGAATAGTACAGAAAAGCGAAATGAGTGGCAGACAAAAAGCAAACTTTTAGAAAAGCTGTTGCGCCTAGGACACCAGAAAACAAAAACTTGCCTATGGACACACCACGCTGCAACTACTCATTTGTGAACGTCAACAGGAATGGGCTAAAACATTTTTATGACAATTTTCAGGAAAAACAACGAATAAAATAGTATATTTGACCCTGGAGCAATGGCTTACAGAACACCATTGTTAGGAAATCCAGTTGCAATGCACTCCAAGAGTGAAAAATGAGACATAAATGAGTTTGGGTACTTCAAAGCCTTCTCAAGTGACACAGAAAAGGTGACAGTTCTAATGCCTACTCCGCAGCAGTGCAATTCTTCTGTGGGAAATGACACACCTCTGCTTCCAGTTTGCTTTCCACAGCCCATATAAGCCTAGCTTGACTGTAAAAACAAATCAGCCCTTACAAAAAAATCTGACTCAAGTCAATGTAGGTAATACATCTTCTGTGTCAATATACTAGGTTGCCTTTAGAAAGAAAATATTAATATTACTGCAATTATCTACAGTACGTTAAAGTAAGGAAAAGTTAAAGGTACTTTGTATGAATATCCATAAACTTTTTCCCCTCAAAACTTTCAGGCAACATTTTCAACGCAAGCACTGCTGCAGTGGGAAGAAAACATCTTTCTTATCAATCTATAAATTTCCATGTTCAATGTAGAAACAAAGCTTTATTGAAATACATGTTTTAAGTTATTTCAATTTATTTTTATTTTATGCTACAGCATTTTCAATAGGACAGACTAAGGTAGTAAAGAGCTACTGATTTCAGCATCTAGAAATTACTTCATTTCTGCACTCTCTTTTGTGGTTATCTATCAGGCATATAAGAGTAGTTCAAATGCTGCATTAGGAAAGGTCTAACTAGACAAAAACAGCAACAGAATTGAAAAGCTAAGTCAATTCTGACAGCCATTCAGTATTCTAGAAGAATTCTGAGTAGATCCCATTATCACCTCTCATTCCTGGCAAAGTTAACACATTTGAAGATCATACAAAGGAACCAGTACCAGGAAAGGAACTTCAGCAAGCTGCAAGGACCTGATTCTCTATGCATGAACATCAGGCAGCATTTAGTATTCAACTAGGTGGAATAGCATTAGCCTTTACTAATTGACACATTATTTGAAAAATAAAGAACATTGATGGGTATAACCTAATAAACAGGCTACTAACCTCCCCCCCAAAACAAGTCATCAATCTACAAAATTTATCAGAGAGACTTCTATAGCAGGTATTACTATAAAAAATGAGTATCTATGCTAAAAAGCAGACGTTTTACAGGGCTATTACCTTGCCCAGGTCTGGGGGTTGCAGATGTTCCAGCAGATGGGAGTTCAGCCTCCTGTCAATTAATTATAAATTACATCACATGAATGCTTAGCTCCGTGCTACCTTTTACATCAAGGCAGTTTCAGTACCAAGATTTGCAATGCAATACCTTTGCATTTGATTCTGGATCAAATCTTTCAAGGATTAATTTTGCAGTCTTGTAAGTCTCCTTCTCCATTACCTCTTCAAGCTGGAAACAGAAAGTTCCACATGTCAAAACGATTCTTCAAAATATCCCCCCATTATCACCTCCATTCCTGGCAAAGTTACCACATTTGAAGAGCATACAAAAGAACCAGTACCAGGAAAGGAATCAGCTCAAATACCTTCAGATTTGCTGTATTCAAAGGAAATGAAATTTTGCTTTTAATAAGTTGCTATCTTTAATGGGCTACTTGTATTTAACAGCTTTATTGCAAGGAAACACCAAATATTGCTAATTGTTTACATATAATGAGCAGAATAATTACATGCACCAACTTCAATAATGGAATGTGCAAAAATCTATCAGCCATCATTATTGGAAGTTATTAGACATGACAAGCGAATGACAGGCAATTCCTTAGATTTATTTCCTCATAGCACTTAATGCTATTAATTTAAAGAAGGTCGTTAGCCAAGTGCTTTACAGAATAAAGTCTCTGTGCCAGTTAACTGCTGTCAGCATCGATTTTAGATTATTTATTAGCAGAAGCAATTAGCTTGCTGCAAATACTGTGAAAACTCACTAATAAGAACAGCTACAGAATTTGCTCAGTGATTCTAAAGACTGATCTCCATCTTTACAGTGAATCAAATTGCTTTTCAGAAAAAGCAGACATTTTAAGAATTTAAATTTAAAAATCACTGAGAACTATGCACGCTTTAGGAAGTATAATTTAAGCACTTCATTATAATAGCGTTATTTACAATGCACTTAAGTGGCTTTATAGCTAATACATGAACTTAATTAAAAAATAATCACAGTAAAGTATCATTTTAGTGGCTAATAGGCAACATCAGAACAAGCTTAAAACACAAAGAGCTGAAGTTATGACAAATAGTTAGCATGTATTGTACAATAGTTTAAGGAGACCTTTTCCCCTCCTCGATATGCTGACTAATGGCCACATTTATATTCAGCTAAAAAAAATTTAAGGGGGGGCTGCTGGCATAAACAGTGAAACAGAAAAGGTCAATGGACAAAGAATTAATTCTCTCAAACTCATTCATCACTGCTAAAACAAAAATTATGCACAATAACATAACTTTCAGGTCATTATATGGTAAATGAGAAACTAAGGTATCAGCCACTCTGTGCAATATAGATATTGTAGTGTTTTTACCTTTGGGTAGACCTTAGACTGTAAATAAAATTCACTCCAGCTAATGAATTTGCAGTATCCATTTAATAGCTCACTCCTATGCTCACCAGCAGAAGTTAAAGGCAAGAGACTATACAGGCTGCTAATTAAGGCCAGAAGAAAGAAGGGAGGGGATAGGGAAGTAAAAATCAATTTCCTAAACTTGTATTTCAGTAGGACTTTGAATTTCACCCATTAACTTCATAAAAAAATGCCACAGTGTGTAATAAGATCAGAATTAAGGGTTTAACTTTGGGAAAATATTTATTACTCATAGGAGTGGTAGATAATCCTGTACATTGAGAGGTTAGCATTGACGACCAGTATCAAATTTTTTCCTCAAATCAAAGTGAGAGCCTCGAGTCTTTCTGCGTGACTGAAGGAACAACACTTACAATCTTCCTTATGGGGCTTCTCCACAACTAATACAAGAAAAATATCCTTTGGCCAGACATGATGAAATTCAGAAAAAGAGAAAAAAAGAAATTTCACAATTCCTTGAAACTATCTACTACGCTGTTTTTCTGAATCAATTGATAGGACAGTAGTTTTTCATATATTGCTGTCTTCACAAAATAAAACACATATTACTTTGAAATTGAAAAAAATCTCATCACATGACTCAGATTTCCTCTAGCTCATTTTAAAATTGATACTTTCAAGTTCCTCATATTTTGAAATTCATCATTCGTAGCTTCATAATTTTAAGACAGTTGAATCTGAATAACTGGCACAGCTGAGACATGACAAACTTGAGATCACAGAAGCTTAATTTCTGTAAGCAGATTCAATTCTTATTGTTGCACTTCAATATATTTTTCTAGAAATAGTCAAAATTTCACTGACAATAGCAAATTATAAGGAATCGAGCATGTCACAGACCTTACACTGTTTCTGAACATGCTAATATAAATACTTGATGAAAAAAGAAAAGGCTCAAGTATCTAAAAACCTACATATTTATCAAATTTGCACAGTAGGACCTAGCTTGTGCTCTGCCATAGCAAGTTCATTTAAAAATGCAAATCAACACACTGACTCCTGGATCATTCACCAAACCTCAGATACAACCTCCAAACAGGTTAGCTGGATGAACACTGACTCACTAACAGAATTGTTTGAATCCTGATCTCTTTTTCATAAGTTCCAAAACTTTTCCCATAAAAATGCTTCCTACTGCCCACCACAGGCTAATTCACAGTCTGTTATTATGAACTTGAAGTGCACAGTAACCAGATTCACAAGTGAAGTCTGTGACTGCTAATGCCACACTAATCATGGATAATCATTTACAAACTACTGGAAGTGACCACATCTTAATAAATGCATGCAGTTGTGGACTGCATTTTCTCTTACGAATAATCACATGGATGGCCTCCTTTCCATTTGGCAAGCAAACAGAATTCTTGCAGCAACTACATCAGTTGCCTATATTGAAGAGTAACTAGAGCAGTATATGCTAAGCTTCTTGTAATGCAACTCAGCAACTGGAGATTGGCACAGTGCAGGCTGCTTATTCTTCATGTTGCCACTTGTGTTTCCAAACTAAACCACTTAGTGCCTCAAACCCCACTAAAGAGGAATTTCTTTGCATTCACACAAAGCTAAAAGATTAGTTTCAGGCTACCATATATGTGCTCACATACAGCAAAGATGCCTTAAGATAGGAAATAAGCTATTTAATCCACAAAAGTGAATTCAAGAAATATCTTAAAATCTCATAATTTACCAAAACAACCAAAATAACTGTTTTCTGTAAACACTGCAATATACAAGTACCACCACTTCCAATCATTTCTCAGTAAAAATGACCTTTCGTTAAAGATTGAGCTTTGCCTTCCAAGTCTTCAGTACTCTAACACACAGTGAA